TTTCGCAAAATGAAATTTCGTATAAATCAAGACGAGACGATTATTTCCTATAACTTTGGAAATTTCTAGCATGTGAGGCACAAGCCCACACTTCCTACGAGAGTTCATACCAAATGAGCTTCTATGTCAGTTTTTGCGTTTTAATATTTTGTTTACATTTGTTTCCGGTCCCCCCACTGTGAGCCCCGCTGTGTGCGTTTGAGCGACACATATCTACAACAGATTGATTGCATAAGATTTTTATTGATGTATTCATTTTCACTCTATCAGCTCTAAGTTTTACAATATTCGACAAATAACTCCTCTGGTGCACGGTCTTTTATCCTAAATCCCCACTCGTCTTTTTTATTTGGCCACGGCTTTGGGTACAATCTTTTCTTATCATTATTCTTCTCCACATCCACGGTCTTCATTTTCTTAGGATCCGGCTCGCTCGATTCTTCGTCCTCGCTCTCGGAATCAAAGTCGTATTCTTCAATCTCAAACGCCTCGTTTAACGACTGGTCGGTCTCGCGATCTTTATAAGCGTACTGGTTAAAGGGAGTATGTCCGGCACTCACTCCTTGTAAGACCCAGAACAATTGAGTATCGCCGTATAGCACTTCAATGTAGTCTCCGCTGGCGTAGGCGTCGACTGCTATGTCTAAATTCTCAACCACGTCCTCCATGATCCTTTCCAAATCCCTCAGGTTCGTCACTCTCTCTCTCATCCCGAACCACACTTTGACTCCAGGTGCTTTGAACACGAATATGACGGCTCTAATGTTCCCGTTGTAGTACACCTCGCGCACTACAAAGTTCTCTATTTCACATTTCAAAGCCTTAACTGAATAACTATCAAGCCTTGTCGCCTCCTGCTGGACCTTTACCAACGCTTCGTCTGCCATTTCCTTCATGACTTCGGCATAGTCCACGTCTTTGTTCCATCGCGTCTTACCGAGGATGTTTTCCTTTCGGCACTCTTTATTCGCCTTGCATCTCTTCTGCACTTCCTCCAAATCAAACGAAAATGAAAAATCCTTCAGCACAGCATTGATGGCATTGAAGCTTGCCTTATACTCCACCATGGTTTCTCGCTCGCCCGGTACGATGTAGTTGAAGCTCATTGTAAACGGCTCTAATGGGCATGTACTGTGTAGACTTGGAATTCATTTTGTATTTATCGACGAAGCGTGACCAGAGACGCTGCAAAATCGTGTTGTCTCTACTTTTTGCACTAGCCACTTGAACTAATCAACAGGTAATCCGACTCGTTGCAAAATCGTGTTCTTTCTACTTTTTGCACTAGCCACTTGAACTAATCAACAGGTGCTCTGACTACCTGGTCAAACGTAACCCGACTCGTTGCAAAATCGTGTTCTTTCTACTTTTTGCACTAGCCACTTGAACTAATCAACAGGTAATCCGACTCGTTGCAAAATCGTGTTCTTTCTACTTTTTGCACTAGCCACTTGAGCTAATCAACACGTGCTCCGACTCGTCGCACACTACGCGCTTAAACTAATCAACACGTGCTCCTGATAATCCAATTACAAAATCGTGTTGCGTAGAAAGCATCTTTAACTACTCAGACAGCGATTTACAGTTAAGAACAGTTTAACGGATTGCGGATATCAATGTCCTTTAAACAAACCGACAAACTTTGTAGTAACAAAGGACAAACTACACTTACGGTCAAAGTTGTGTAACCTCGGGTTAACCCCCCGATGTTTATTAAGTTAATCGCGTATTTAAATATCGTTCTAAGTCATATATACCGATGTACCTGTTGACCTTTTGACAACGATGCGTTGCCTTATATATATCGTACTTTAATTGTCGTGAAACCGATTTCTACGAAAGTCTTTTAGGAATGATATTTTATTGATATTCTTATCCTTAATTATGAGGCAACACCTCTATCMTATTCTCAGTTAATATCAGATAATTTTGACGATTTGACGTAATTATGAGACAAATCCGTATAAAAACGGTTGCAATGTAATTTAGTGAAGGAAGAACGAGTTTTCCAGAGTTTCAACTACAATTTGTATTGGAGCCTACATTAAACATCTTATCAAGCCTCTACCGTTTGCTAGTCCTTTAATTACGAATAACACTTGCCATAATGGAACTATTTGTTTGCCTTCCAACGTTAAAAAGTGTTACGGATGCGGACAGGCGTTTTCTGACAGGCTGCAACAACCACCTCATAATATCATTGTTAATATCATTTCTGATATGAATCTTAGGTTCCTTGAATAGACTTCTGAACCTTTTACGTYACTACTTGATTTTCAATGCATTGTGGTATCAGTTTCAAGAGAAAACAAAAGAAATCCGCCATGTTTTGNACAGCCGTATTAAAAGGCTTTGCTACAAGACGGGAAATTATGTGAAATGAAAACTTGGCGAAGTGGCGATATAATGTAATAGTTAGCGTTTAAAAAAGAGAAAAAAAAGACGGCTGGAGACTGAGCCTAGTTGTAATTGTACTGAGCGTATATGTCCATCTGTGCTTGTGTATACTTTCTTTATTCTTCCAAGTTTCCAGGAACCGCGTGGGATAAGCTCTTCCTTTACTTGTGCTATATCTCCAACTTTTGGTGTCTGCTTTGATTGAATTTTCTGCTGTGTGTTGCCTGTGATGACGTTCTCTCAGGCTCAAAAGGTATTCATCTTTCCATGTTTTCCAAAAGCAGTTCAAATGATTCTGTCCTCTTTTCCAAGTTTGAAGCAGTGTCTTTTCAGAGCTAAGTGGTGTTGGAATATAATCATCCAGTTCTTGTTGTATATCAATAATTCCAGTCTTTGGGTTCAAGGATAAGAAATCTGAGGGACAAAGTGTTCTTCCTGAATGCAAATCTGATGACACGTAAACCAGTGRGCGTGAGTTTAGTATGGCTTCTATTTCTACAATCAACGTGGTGAGTTGATCGAAAGATAGTGTTAGTTTTCCAAGTGATTTTCGTAGTGAACGTTTTACCAGTCCAACGAGTCTCTCATAATATCCTCCCATCCAGGGTGCAAGCTCTGTGATGAATTTCCATTCAATGTTATTTCTTGACATATAACCATGTATGCTGTTATCCTCAGTAKTCTCATCTGTATACAGTTCTTGTAGAGTAGAATMTGCTAATTTCAACTGTGAGGCATTGTCTGAAATGATCTGYGTTGGCTGGCCACGCCTTCCAATGAATCGTCGTAAACAGAGTAAAAACTGTTCTGTAGTCATGTCACGTAGTAGTTCAAGATGWATTGCTCTTACAGCAAGACAGGTAAATAAACATACCCATACTTTGGTAGTTTCTCCATGTTCCTTAATGTGTAGTGGAYCAAGATAATCCAGTCCTACATATGTGAATGGTGATGATGATGATACTCTGCTCTTTGGTAAGTCAGGCATTGGCGGACGTTTGTAAGGACCACCTTCAGTTCTCTTGCATATTCTGCATGTCTTCAATACTTTGTACACTGTGGATCGTYCGCTTGGTATCCAATAATTTTGTCGTACAGTAGCAAGTGTATGGGAAGTTCCTGTATGTAGAAGTTTCTCATGACAGTCTTTGATGACTAGTATGGTGAAGTAGGCTTTTCTTGGAAGTAATTTAGGAAATTTTGCATCTTCTGGTAGATTGGCATTAGTTATTCTTCCTTGACACCTTAGCAATCCCTCAGGGTCCTTGTACACTCCTAGCTGACCACATAATTGGTTAGGTTTACTTGATTCAATTGCATCAATAATATCTTGAAAATACTGTTGCTGAACAAACTTCTCCCATCTATGTCTAGCATCATTGATTTCTTTAGCACATAGTGGTCCTTTAACAATGTTCCTTTTACGGGTTTTGTTCACAAAACGTATGCACCATGCTGTTACTCGTAAGAGTCGATTCAATTTTGAAAAGTTCTGTTCATTAATAGTGAATGGCTGTACCGAAGGTTGTTTTGATTCTGTTTCTTTAGTTAGGAGTGATGCTTCGTAGAGTCTTTGATTTCTTAGTTCTTTGTTGAAGCTGTCATCATCGTCTGTTTCTGTAGTTTTCCACTCTGGCCAGTGAGCTTTGTCCTCCATTATCCATGTGGGTCCTTTCCACCACAGTCTTAAGTTGATTAAATCATCTGGTCTTTTCCCTCTAGTGGCAATGTCAGCAGGATTTTCGTTAGTGGGTACGTATCTATATTCAACATCTTTGTAGTTATGTATTTCCTTCAATCGATTACGTACAAACACTGAAAGTGACTTTGTAGTGAAGATCCACTTTAGTACACATTGGGAGTCAGTAAACAATGTTTCTTTCTTCACATCAATTCTCAACATCTTCTTAACGTAGTTTAGACWTCTCAGTCCAATGACAMCTGCCATCAGTTCTAATCTTGGTATTGTTAACACTCTTTTGGGGGCTAAACGTGTCTTAGCAAAAATTAGGTTGATTGATTGTTTACTGTTAGTATATGTCTTTAAGTAGATTGCAGTAGCAAATGCAATTTTNGTTCTCTTTTTTTGTTTTAGCTGATCCATCATAGACAATGCGTAGCTTTGTTGTTGTGTGAACAGGAGTAATAACACGGTGATGCGGTATATAGTGTGTTGGTCCATTAACTTCGTCTTCTTCAACAAGCTCAATTATTCCTTCATTCAGCTGATTTTTAATCACATTGTCATATTTCTTCAGTAATTCAGGCTCTTGTTTCAGTCTTTTAACTAAGGTGTTCAACCGTCCATGTGCAAGTCCATAGTTATCAGGCAGTGATTCGTAGTCTTCTTTCCAAGGCCAGGCGACATTGTATCTTCCATTGTTGTCCATTTCAATATTGTCTTTAAAGTTCTGAAGTAACAATTCATCATTATTCAATTGTAAGTCTTCGCGTATTCCAATGCTTTCTAAACTCCAAAGTGTTTTAATGTCAGGTTTCTCACAACATGGCAGAACATCTGCAATTTGATCTTTGTCATCTAAAATAGTAGCATGCTCTATTGTAGTGTGAGTGAATAGAGTAGTTGATGGGCAGTTTTTATCTGTGATTCCTGTCCTTCCAGTGAGAATCATTCCTAATTTGGAGCCTATTAGGAACAGTCCAGGGCTCACTTCCATTTTCTCTGAAGTAACAAAGTCCCAGTAGTAGTCGCTTCCAAGAAGTATATCAATAGTACAGTCTTCACTCTTAGTGGGCAAGGTATCTGCTAGTTTAACTTGTTTCCAAATGGTGGAGTTTGTTGTGTTGACTGGTACACGGTGAACAGTTCCAGTTATGTGGGGAATAACATTTGCTGTGATTGTTTGATAAGTTCCATCAATAAGTTGTACTTGTAATTCCACAACTGGGGTTTCTATGTTCTGTGCTCTAGTTGATCCAAACGCGTGGACTGAAAGAATTTCTCTGTATTTCTCTTTAAGTTGAAGTTTCTTTTGAAGTTCCTGAGTTATGTAGCTTCTTTGACTTCCATTGTCTAAAATCATCTTGACTTTTGTTTGTTTATTAGTGTCAGTTGCTTTCAAGTTGACGTTTGCTGTTTGTAGTAGTACTTGATCTCCTGTTGCGAGATAACTATGTGATTCTGAAGTATTTTGTTCACTAGATTGACATCTAATGTCTGCTGCTAAAGTGGTCACAGTTGCAGTTTCATCAGAAAACTTGTCAGGGCAGAGACTTCTGTGATGGTTGGCGACTTTTCCGCAGTGGAAGCAGGGTCTTTTAACTCGACAGTCCTTCAGAACATGTCCTCGTTTCATGCAAATGTAACATGAGCCTTTAATTTGCCTCTTCCTTTCGCTGACTGTTTTGTAGAC